AAGATTGGATATGCAGGTGATGTAATGGATAACGGTTCGGAATTGTTAATCGGAGCTCCGAGTTCAAATCCCAGTTGGGTTCGTTATATTCATTTACGCGCCGCAAATACCCTACAGAAAAGTATGAATCCACCTCTTCTCCCCCAGGTATGGGTTAATTAGTAGAACTTGTATCACTAAATCATTATTATATCCCCCAAAATAAATTCAATCTAAAAATATTTTCTGGCTTTAAATAATCTGCAAAGGGTTGATAAGCCGTAAAAAACGCATTAATCAACCAAAATCCGTAATAAAATCTTCCACATACAAGGATACACAAAGGACACATATAATGGCGAACAATCACTCTTTTAACAGAAATATATTAATATTGTTTGGACATTAAAACATTTGTTTAGATTGAACTTGAAACAGATGCAGCATCACCCTCACTTTTTTTTTAAAACCTCTTGTTAACCCAATAGAAAGCCCAAGAGCCACTCAAGGTAGAAGGTCACTGAATGAAATTGTTTTAAAGGAGGAAGAGATGCATATTATGAAGATATCTAGAATAGAAGTTCGGTTGACCCTGGACTTGAAGATGTGAAGATTGTAGTTGTTGGGGAAACATCCTCTCAGAATCCTGTTCGACAATATGACACTTCTTAGGAAGGAGCTGCCTATGGGAAAATTCCTCCTTACCAAAGAAAAGGGATGAAAATGAGGATGATTTGACGCCATATAAACAACATGGCTGGTCCAAGCTGTGAAGGTCTGAACTGGCAGGACTTTAGAAATGTAGCACACTTAAACATTTGCCATTGAATATGTAGGATATATATCGATTGACCCTATACTTGAAGAAGTTGGGATTGTAATGATCAAGAGTCTGTTCCACAAAGGTCTGGGGATGAAGCTGTCTGAGTGGAACTTACTCCTTACTAAAGTAACATGAAGGGTATAGAGATGATTTGTCACCGTGAACACGGGATAGCCAGTCCTAGCTGTGAAGATCTGAGTTGGTGGGGCTATGGAATTTAACTTAACATTTGTCTTCGTAATAGCGATAGAGTATTAGAAGGTTAGCATTGTTTTATCTGTGGGCTAAGGCTTGCAGGATGAAAAATAATTCATCGCCCACAAGACTGCGTAAATTCTTTAGTAATCTGTCAAAGCTGGACAGTGACGACTGGGCAGGTACTGTCCAGATATGGCAGTAATATTCAATTTTTGAACGCATCTGACAGTTGTGAAAATAGAGCATGGCTTTAGTAGTTTGGTATTTTCTGGAGCAATACCAGGAAACGACCATTTTCCTAGCATCTTTTACGATGGCACAAATTTACGAGTCCCACTCGAGGTTTGGAGTGAGCTTGAGCCACAATAGACGTTCAAGGAAAGAGGTCTCAGTGAGTGTACAACCGTTCAACAGGACTGGACAAAATTTAGGGTCTGCTTTATGATGAAGAAACATTAATAGTTTTGTTTTGGAGGTATTCAATGATACAAGCTAGTCTTTAACTGATTGAGGTACTGCGTTCACCAAGGGACCATATTAAAAAATTTTGTTTGGAACAGTGCATATATTGAAGTTCTTTACCGTATACATGAGCATACTAATCTTAACAGACTAGAACACCGCTGCTGACGCTTCTTCAGGACATAGGCGACCATGGCTCTCCACAGCCTCCTATCTCGAGTGGCTCTTAGAAGTTTTTCTCACTTTGCTTAGGCTTCCGATCTCCGTTCCGCCATCCATTTACACAACCCCGTGGTAATTGGCCCGCTGTCTTTCCCTAACTCTCTTGCGCATTGTGAGTCTGACCGCTCCTCAAGACTATCAAATTTAGTGTCTGCTCGGTGGTAATGAAACGTTACTAGCTTTATTTTGCAGGTATTCGATGATAACAGTCAGTCTTTCCCTCATTGAGTCGTGCGAGTTTGATCCGAGGAGAGACAAAAGAAATATTGCAAAACACTAATACTTAATCTAAGAAAGTCAAACAACTTAAGGCGAATACAGCAACTAATGCTATTAAGACTATAACAGCTGTTACTGTTACGATAAATATTGGTTCTCCGTAGCTTGTAGCTAGTAACGGTTCATCCCTATCGAGTAGATCCTAAATTTGCTGCAGTCCTGATGAGCGGTCAATCTTTACCCTGAACGTCGATTGGGACTAAACTTTACTCTAGACATCAAATGGTACTCGTATATTCATGCCATCGCAAAAGATGTTGAGAAAATGGTCGTTTCCTTGTATCTCTTCAGAAAATACCAAACTCTTACAGCCATGATCTATTTTTACAATGGTCAGATCAGACCAAGGATAGATTATTGCAGACATATTTGAGCTAGTCTTCACTGTCCAGAGTTGTAAAAGATCGTTCATTTATTAAGTCGAAAATTTACTTAATAAACCAAACGAAAATTTTGACCAACCCAATACAAAATAAGATAAAAGACTAGTAAATAAAAGTTAATAATAATGTAATAAGTAAATAATCATCAAATAAGAAAATTTGAAAAATTAGGACTTTTACGTATACTACTATTACAACCATTATAGACTGGTATTACACATTCACAAAGAAAAATGTGTACCAAATAACAGAAGTGACATCGCTTGAGAACTATCAACAGCAGCAACAACTAAAATGGATATCACATGTAAATCGAAGAGAAAATAATGATATAACCAAGATGTTAACATTCCACACCACTTCAAATAAAAGGTTAGAAAGGAAACTCCCATCAACACTGAAAAAGCAATAACAGCTACTGGACTTGAGAAAGCTGTTTTTCTAAAAATTGTTTTAAGAAAAAGACTTTATAAATTCCAAACAAAAAGAGCACTGGCTGCTCAGTCGATGAATGCCAAATATTTCCTTATAGAGAAACGGCTAATATTAGCATTATAGCAAACCGCCTACATCCCCCCCCATTTCCGTATTTCATTGGTGAGAAGTAAGTTCCACTTAGACAGCTTCATTCCAAGAGGATGTTTCCGCGATCACTGCAACCTATTCAAGCCTAGAATTATCCATTATCTTCCTTTCCTATCAGCAGAAATTGTTCCTTAATGTAACCCTCTACCTCGAGTGGCTTCAGGCCTTGTACTGGTTGAACCTGACTGTACCCCTCCAAAAAATTACTTTCTTTTTATGTGCCGTATTCTTATCATGGCTCTCCACTTCCTCCTATTCCTTGTAGCGCTCAATGAGATACGTGCCTCTGCCCCCCCCCACAAGATCACGTTCTGTCATCCACTTGCTTAAGGCCGCCAGGTATGTCATATGTTGCTTTCCCTTGTCTCTCTTTCTCTCTATTCGACCTGTGAGTATCAGATTCTCCAGACCCTCCTTTCTCATTATATGTCCCAGAAATTTCATTTGCCTCTTCCTTATGTTAAGTATAAGCGTCCTCCTTATTTGTATCCTCTTCAAGACCTCGTCGTTTCTCACTCGCTCGCTCCATGATATCCTTACCATCCTTCTGTAGAACCACATCTCCGCTGCATTCGAGTCTCTTTGAGGAGGCCGTCCAACATTCACTGCCGTAACTACGATAACATGTTTAAAACGTTAAAATGATGTGACCTATTCTAAACAGAAATGATTATGGTTAATAGCCCGATTGACAATGCAAATTCCTTAGTCATTGAGACGCTGAACAATCGTTATATAATCACAAACAACTGATAGATGTCTCCCCTTACCCCATATCTACTATGAGTCAGGTGGGTGTAAAAGAAAAACATCAACAGATCGGAAGCTGTTAATGATCTCAGGTTGTTGATGGAGACTCAATGTCCAACACGCTGGCAGCTTTATTCGCATTAAAGCAATACGGATCTATTGCACCAAAAACGGAATGACTGCATCGCTAACGGCGTAAATATTACACAGATATCCGAGTGAATGAAACCCCGGTGTAATGCTAAATAGCACAGAGCACACGATATGTTTGCATGTCGGCTTAATGTGCCAAGTTTTGAAAAAAATACACGCTCCCAATAAGGTAGTCAAGGGCAAATGCGAACGAATTCGGCCAAGAACATCCTGAAGGGATTACAGCTGTAATAGTAATTACACAGATCCAGAGCTATAACAGGTAAAAACTAAACTTTCAAATGTCAATTTTAAAGGTCGTATCGAGAAAAATGTTCGAAAATAATTGTCCGAAAAAAATTATTCGAAAACAATTATTCGAAAACAATTATTCGAAAAATATTTATTCGAATTGTAAATTATTTGAATGAAAATTAATCGAAAGGACGATTATACTAAATAGTAATTATTCGAAATACGTATGTTAGAAATACGTATGTAGTCTTGCTTTGAGAGATTCAATGCTGATTTACCTAGAACTAATAACGCCCTTGAAGGATGGCATAGGGCTTTTTGGCAGCAAGTGTCATTCCATCATCCCACAATCTTAGACGCTCTGAAAAGGGAACAGTACTTGCAAGAAATTCATATTCCAAATGTAAGAGCAAGTTGCCAAATTATCAAGAAATTCCGCGATGTAAATGGAAAACTTTAAAAAAATGAGTGACATCCTTTATTGAGTACTCTTTAGTAGTTGACTATTTGCGTGCAATATCATGTAACTTAAGGTTTTAAGTATTTTTCTTCCTAAATTGTTTTATTAACGATATCTGTATTTCGAATAATTATCATTTGTGTATTTGCTCTTTTAAATTTTACATTTTTATTGCAATAAAGAATTTTTCATTTCGAATAATTATTTGAATAAATGTTTTTCAAATAATTATTTTCGAATGATTGTTTTCGAACAATTTTCTCGATACGGAATTTATTCCGGTCTAAATCAATTCTGTGAAAAAGTCCGTTTCCAGACAAACCGTCCATGTTGCTCCAGTCGCTGTTATTTAAATTTCCAAGTCGAAAAACTTTTCGTATTTTTGATGACTTGCTGCAAAAATGCCTGTCATCATTCTAGGACGTTATTAGCTCTAGATAAATCCGCATTGACCCTCTGAAAACAAAACTAC